GTCAGCATTTCCTAGAAACTTCTGAAAAATCCAAGAAGTTTTAAAAACCAAATATATTATAAAACAAAAGGAGAAAGTGTTGGTATTCCAATTTTCTAACATGCTACTAGGAATACTTTTTACAAAGATACTCTCAGGAGCAATTTGAGGTTAATGACTAGGGTTAGATGAGGATGGGAGTGTTGAGAATTAGGGTTCAGAGATCAAGACTGGATGAAGCAAGCGGGGGCCAGAATATAATTTTCAGTCATGTCTGACTTCATGACCCCATTTAGGGTTTTCTTGGCAAAACCAATGGAGTGCTTTGTCATTTCCTTCTCCAGCTCATTTTATGGATGAGGAAATTGAGGCAAATAAGGTTCAGTGACTTGCCAAGGGCCACATAGCTAGTAAGGGTCTGAGGCCATATTTGAATTCAGGAAAATGAGTCTTTCTAACTCCAGGCCCAACACTCTATCCACTGTGCTGCTTAGCTGCCTTGGAACCAGGGTAGGATGGGGTAGGATGAAGAGCAAGCTTGGATAGTGTATCTTGGAAATGATGGTTGGATAGAGGGAACCTGGGGACAAAGTTAGAATGGTGATAATCAGGTCAGAACTGACTAGAAGTGGGGCTGGGAACCAATGATACATGGGAAGAATTATGGACCAGGGTTGGAGATGGAGAGTTAGGGACCAGGGCTTGAATGAAGGGGCTCTGTGGACCAAGAATGAAATGGAAGAATGGTGGGATTTGGGACCAAGATTGGGTGAGAATGTTTAGAACCAGGGCTGGATAGGAAGATACAGGGACTACATTTTGATAGGAAAGAGGTTAGGGACCATGGTCAGATGGGGGATGATTTTGAATACAAAACTTTATTAAATTATGGAGGAAGAATAGGGACTGGTGCTAAATTAGGAGTATTTGGTGGTTAAAAACGAGGTTAGATAGGGAGGGCTATTTATGAGGGTTGAAGTTGGGGGCCAAGTTTGAGAGAAGTACAAGGCTCTGATCATCATCAGCTCTCAGATGTTGATAGTGCATCCTATTCCCTCCTTCACCTGATCCACATGCTCACTTCTCTCTCATGGGGAAGAAGTAGCAAGAATGACCCCAGAGACCAGATGCTAGAAGGGTCAGGGAAGCCTATACTCCAGGCTTGGCATTGCTATACAATTCCAGAACCCATTTATTCCACCCACCTTCAGAAAAAAAAATGTGTATGGGGAGGCGGAATGGGTTGGTAAATAAGGAGTAGTAGGTTAGTTCCTTATCTTCATTGTCTCAACAGATTCTCAAAAATGTGCTAAAAGTATTGGTTTTAGAGCTGGTGGACCTGGTTTCAAGGTTCAGATCTCCTTGTTACTAGCTATCTGACCTTGAATTAGTCTCTCTCCTCTTTTTATCTCTGTCTCTGTTTCTGTTTCTGCTTCTGTTTCTGTCTCTGTCTCTCTGTATCTCTGTGTCTCTCTGTTTTCTTATCTAAATAATGAAAGGGTTGGATCAGATAGCGGTGTCAAATTCAGATAGAAGTGGATCCCATTGGGTTGTCCTGTCTATAGAGATCTCAGAAAATCTCACTGGCTTTGGCTTGGAAGGAGAGGAAGAAAGTGACTGCTGCTAGTTTTAGAAAATTATGAGGGCAGGAACACATCCCCCCTTTTCCAATCAGCTTTTCTCCTTTCTGCGCTTCATTTTCCTCCTCTAAGAAATAGGATAGTCATGTATCATTACTTATGTCCTAGGGTTTGTTGTAAGGAAAGTATTTTGCAAACTGTAGCATGATAATGAAATATTAGCTATTGTGATATTATGCTTAGACAGGACCAGCATGGAGCCTGCTTTTCCTGTGAAGTTAAAGGACAAGCAAACCTCAAACGGCACATCCTATAAAATGGAGCTCAGATTCTGAGTTAAAAAATGTTCACAACTTATAAAGATCTTGTGAAGAGCAAGACTTTGCTATCATCTTCACAGATAATGGGAAAAGTATTAGATTAGGAGACAAAGGACGAGTGTTCAAATATTTACCACTATGACACTGGGAAAGATATTTTCCATTTCAAGTCTTGAAATTCCTCATCTGTCAAGTGGGAAGCTTGGGTTAGTGACCTCTTAGATTTCCCCAGGCTCTGGTATTCTGAGTTCTATTTTCTATTTTAGGTCTAACATTCTATTTTCTGTATTGTATCTTTAATCCTCACAAAGCCATGGTTAGTGGTTTCCTGCTGGGGACAGTTTTAGGGCAAACAGACCAGAAGCCCTGCCCACCTTGAGGGTGGCAGTTATGTATTGCCCATCACAGAGGCTCAGAGAGGAGGACCTTTTCTCAACCCCAATTACCAGGGAAATTGATCTGTGATAAAGTCAAATCTCTTGGGTAACTCCTGAACCCCAACCCTGTTTCCTACCTTTGCTTTCCTCAGTAGCCCAAATGCCTCTTCCTGCATCCTTCCCCAGGGAACTGTGGGAGAATCCTAGGTCTCTAGCAAAGGTCCTAGGCTGTAGGCTAGGTAAGAAGAGACTGAATTAAGACAAGTGCCTCTTCCTTATCTCCTTTCCAAAGGGAAAACAGAGCGTGGATCCCAAGGTTATCAGGCCAAGTATTTATCTCTCTCATGTAATGCACTTTTAATTTTCTTTCTTTTTTGTTACTATGTCCATTTGGTCAAGCTGATCTTTTCAGTGAGTTCTCAGCCCAATTTTAATGTTGGGCCTGGACAAAATACCCCTTGCTAGGCAGCAGGAGAAAATAACATGACCCATATAAACTGTACATGTTGGACTATACAATACACTATTCTAATTAAATATTCTAATTCCTAATTAGAATTAAGCCCACCTCTTCGAAGGACCTGATTTTCACCAGCTCAATCTGCTGCCACTATTGTACATGTAGGGATGTGTGTGTGTGTGTGTGTGCACGTGCACGTGTGTGTGTGTGTGTGTGTGTGTGTGTGTGTGTGTGTGAAGGAGGGGCAGATTGGTGGCACAAGCTTTTCCTTTATCTCTGGTGAGACAAAAAGGGATTGAGATTGGCAGTTTGCATTCCATGTTACTGAAAAGGGATCTTGATTTGGAGCAACAATTTCAGCTCTTTTATATGACTTGTTGGATTTGGCAAAGTCACTTAAATTTCATGAGCCTCAGCTTCTTCATCACAGTTTATGGGAATAATAAGACTTGTATTACCTACATCAAAGGATGGTTGTGAAGAAAGGGCTTTATGATACCATATAAATGTAGCATTATAATTAACAATAATAATAAATCTCATAAAAACTTTGCTTTTTATGGGTTGTGCAAAGTCCTATATTACTAAAGAAATTAGCATGGGTAAATATTAAATTTTCCAAGAAAAAAAAATTCATGTTTTAAAATGGGCTGCTTGTATAAATTGTTCTCCTAGGTCTATTCACTTCATTCTTCATCAGTTCTTTCAGTCATTCCCAGCATCTTCTGAAACTGTCCCTTTTGTCCTTTCTGATGGTGCAATAATATTCCATTACATCACACACGATAGTTTGTTCCCCAATAGGTAGACACCTCATTTTATGAAAAAAGTTATTATGAAAATAGTTGTTATAAATATTTTATACTCATGGATATTTTTCTTTTTTTACTTTAAAAAATATTTAATTTTTAATTTATGTGATAAAACAAGCACTTCCATAACATAGTACAATAAAAAATGATTCCACATGAAACTAAAAATCTATTATGTATAACATGCTATTTCATTTACAAATATAATACATTTATATATGATAATTTCTTCTTTTTTTCTTTCTCTGTTTTTCTCCTTTTTTTCTTTCCTCATCCACATTAGAGATGGCTACCATTAGACATAGTTATCCTCATACACATGCACACACATGTAAAATTATTCTGTGCATACTTTTACTTACCAGTTCTTTCTCTGGATGCAGATTGCACCTTTCTTCATATGTCCCCTAGTAGTGGCATAGTTTGGTGAAAGGGTATGGACAATTTCGTGACATGTTTGAACAATTCCAAATTGCTTTAACTTGGGAATTTAGAGAGATAGAACATTTATTAAGCACTTACTATATGCCAAGTATTTTTATAAGCGCTGAGTTTATAAATATTAGCAAGCAAGGTAGGCCTTGCCTTCAAGGAGTTTCCATGGTAATAGGTGAAAAAAAAAACAGAAGGAAAGCTGGAAAGGTGAGAGTGGGGAATTACATATGTGGTTGCAGGCTAAGAATATGGTCAAGGAGTAACATGGTGGCCTGAATCCAGGAATGATAAAGTAAATACTCTTGTGAAAGCCCAGTGTCCCATGGGTTAGACTCTACAACTCCAGTGGGAGAGAGCTAAGATTATGGCCATAGTATAGACAGCAAGGTAGAAAGATGGGGTTACTCTCCTATAAAGACAAGTACATTGGGCTAGACATCAGGACATCTGGGTTCTATTTCCTATTCTACCTTTATCTTTCTCTGTGGCGTTGGGGAAATCACTGTTCCTGGGGGGCCTCAGTTTCTCTATCTGTAAAATTAAAGCTTGTATTATATATTCTATACTGTTCTTTCCAATAGTATTCAATGAATCTAAGTGCCTAAATATGATTGTTTCTGAATCTATGAACTATCATATAGCATCATCTTAAGGGGCTTACCAAGATTATCATATTGGTGGTGGGTTTGTCACATGCCAGCTCCTCAGATAACACTCTGGGGCCATTCAGTACAGGGGAAATATCACATCCTTCCCCCTCCCCCCCCACCATATTTCTTTATGACAGCAATGTTCCAAATTTGATGCTCATCATAATCATCCATTATTATTGATAAGATGACTAAAGTATAGTCAACTTCTATTTACAAAGGCAGAAGCACAGGTAATGCAATTGGAAAATCTCTCTCTCTTAAATGGCTTAAGCATAAAACTGGTACATAAAGGAGTTGATTTTAGCTTCATGGAAAATATACTGACTTTGTGAATATGGTCATTTCTGGGATTCTGTAAAACATTTTTCTATTGTGCTATGCTAGGTGGACTGCGGTGAATTTCGAGACCCCAAAGTATATTGCACCAGAGAATCTAACCCTCATTGTGGCTCTGATGGCCAGACTTATGGCAACAAGTGCTCCTTCTGTAAAGCGATGGTGTAAGTTATTGATCTCTATTTTTCCATGTGTAAAACGGAAGGTTGGACTAGATAACTTAAAGATTCCTTCAAGTCTCACATTCTGTGTTCTGTCTTCCAAGGTCCCTCCCAGCTCCCATATTCCATGTTCCATGTCCTAAGATCCCATCCAGTCAGAAAACCCCAAGCTCCCCATAAAGCTTGTTCAAAGACTCCTAGAGAATCAGCCTTGTTATAATTCTGCCCACTAGAAGTAGAATATATATTTATATCTGCCAAAATACCAAGACCACAGAATCTCATGGTACTGAAGAACATTAGAGCTAGAAAGTATCTCAAAGACGATCTGCTTCCATGTTGTCATTTTATACATGAGGAAAGTAAGAACATGGTGAAGATAAGGGACTGAACAAAGATCACACAGTTGACAAGTGGAAGAGTCCAGAATTCACACCAGGTGTCCTTAATCCAAATGAATTTTTCCGTCTAAAATGTCATACTTCCTCAATGAGCTATAGGCTTGGGTATTGCTAGATTCAGATGGCCCAGCCACATAGACTAGTGGTTATTTCAATAGCTTCCTACCCTGCTGCTATGGCCAAGAGAAATGCTTATGTTCTTTTGAGAGAAAAAAAACCTGGAATGGGATGTACAACACCTGACTTTTGCTTACCTTGTGATCTTGGACCAAGTTCTTCACTTCTTGGGACCACCGTTTCTCATCTATGAAATAAGATACTTCAACTAGATGAGCTTTGTGGTTACTTCCAGCTATGCCCTTCTATAACTGTCATATTTGTATGTGTCTCTTTCACAGGGAAAGTGGTGGAAAGGTGACATTAAAGCATCAGGGAAAATGCTGAAGCTTGACTAGTGTTGTGTGCAGACCACCTTCCAGTCTCTGCTCCTCCATTGTCCTGATACCTTTCCTCGTTCCTCTTCTGCCTTATTTTTCTGTGAGGGATCATTCTATAGATATACATCTTTTACTGACCTCAGGCCTGGGGAAAGGGTTTAACCTAAACCAATTTACATCTCTGACATATTCTACATGAATAAAGTAAATTCCACAGAAGCCTGAGTCTTGTTTTAATTTCAAATAATGTCGATGCATAGAGGGATATACAGTATAGCAGAAAGGATCCTGAGATGGCACCGGATGACTTGGGTTCACATCCCAGCTCTGCCACTAACCAGCTACAGGACCTGGTGCAGTTTGGGTTTTGTTTTGGAGCCTCATTTTCTCTATCTCTGAAACATTATTAAAGAGGTGATTTGTGAAGAAAGGAAAGTAATCATCACTCTCAAGCAATAAGAGTTCATCAATAAGAAGTCATGGACTTTCTGCTGGCTCTGCCGTATTCCAGTGAATTGCCAAAATGACAAACAGAAAAGGAAAAAGGAGAAGAACACGATACATGTTTCCTAGGCCCTTTCAAAAACATGGTGTTGTCCCTCTGGCTACATATATGCAGATATACAAAAAAGGTGATATTGTAGATGCCAAGAATATGGGCATGGTTCAGCTTGGCCCCACAAATGTTATCGTGGCAAGACTGGACAGGTCTATAATGTTACTCAGCATTCTGTAGGCATTGTTGTAAACAAACAGGTTAAGGGCAAGATTCTAGGCAAGAGAATTAATGTGCATATTGAGCATATTAATCATTCTAAGAGCAGAGATAGCTTCCTGAAGCGGATAAAGGAAAATGATCAGAAGAAGGAGGAAGCCAAAGGAAAGGTCACTGAAATGCCAGCGTGTTCCACCCAGAGAAGCATGCTTTGTGAGAACCAATGGCAAGGAACCTGAGCTGTTGGAACCAATATCCTACAAATTCATGGCATAAGTGGCTGTAAAATTTAAAAAAAAATTATTGGGTTATGGAAAAAAAATAGTAACTCATGCTAGGCCAAGCTGATTTCCTTCCTTAACAGTATTACTGCATTACAGATCAGGGAATATCATAGATGAAGCATTTCTGAATTTCACCAGGGTCTTTGACAAAATCTCTCATGATGCCTTTGTTGACTGATGAGAGAACAAAGAGATTGGTTAAGAAGTAGATGGAATGGACTAAAACAGTAGAGATTTTTTGGGAAAATGTCAATATTTTTGGATGGGTCTAGTCAAACATCCCAGATGTCTGTCATTTAATATTTTCAATGACTTGAACAAAGCCTGATATATTGTTATACTTATGAAACTGTAGCTAATGGGGAAAAAAGGATAAGTAAAAAAAATTGACAGAATCATGAATTTAAAAAAAAAATCTTGATAGCCTCAAACCAGAGGATAAATAAAAGTTAAGAGAGAGGAATATAAGACTCCATTTGGATTAAAAATTAATTGCAAAAATAAAAGTTAAGTTCTTAACAGAAGCTAGAGATTATGGATGTGGAATATCAACATATAGTCAGACTCAATTGACGTGTTCAGTTTTGCAGATCTGCTCTCCTAGCTTTTTAAAACCTTGTTTTTAATGAAAGATGGATCTCTAGGTAGAGGAGAGTAAGATATATTTAGAAATGGAAGTGATATGAAAACCAAAATTATCAATAAAAATTAAAAATAGGATAGGGAAAATGTGTCTAGACAACAATTCATGGGGGAAAAAGTTTAAATGGACTGCAAAATGAACATGAGTTGACCATAATATGACAGCCAAAAAAAAATTCATTTGATCTTACACTGCATTGAGATCAGCATAGCAACAATCAACAAGCATTCATTTATACCTACTATGTGGCAGATGCTATGCTATGTGCTGAAGAGACAAAAATGAAGTATTTCCTGCCTTCAAGTAGCTTTCATTCTTCAAGAGGAGTCAGATTACATACATACACATTTGTGAATACATGTTAAAACAAATGCAAGGTTATTTTGGTGGGCTGGGAGGATTAGGAGAGGTCACTCTTAGGAGATAACACTTCAGTTGAGATTCAAAGGAATAAAGAGATGCAAGAGATAGAAGTGAATATGGGATGCGAGAAAAGCATGGGACATGTCCAGAGGAAGTAGACAGAATATTCTCTGAGAGGAACAGCAAAAAGACCAATTTACTTGTAGCAAAGTGGTATGTGAAAAAGAGTAATGGATAATAAGGCTAGAAATATAGGTTAGAGCAAGGTCATAAAGGTATTTAAATGGCAAACTGAGATATTAAGATTCAATGGTTTCCAGAATGCTCAATGTGGATAATGCTGATGTCCTGACCAAAACGTATTTACCTTATTGTGCTGAGCTCTGGGCATCTTCTTTTAGGAAGGACATTAAAAATACATATCCAATATGGACATGATGGTACATACCTGTAATCCCTGATCCTGGGAAGGTTGAGGCCCATGGATTGTCTGAGCTTAGGAGTTAGTAGCTGGAATAGACTAGAGCCAATTGCATATCCATACTAATTTCAGCACCAATGTGGTGAGCCTTTGGTGATGGGGAGCCTCCAGATTGTCCCAGAAGGGGTAAACTAGCCTGGGCTAGGGAAGCATAGACAATTAAAGTCCTGTCCTAATTACTAGTGGAATCAGGCTGTGAGTGGCTGCTGCACATCTAGCTAAATGGAGATAGAGAGATATTCTATTAAAAAAAAACCAAAACCCAACAGAATGAATGAATGAATGGAATAAATAAAAGAATAAGCAAATAGATGGATGCCCACTTATCTCTTCTGACACTGCCACTATGCCTCATCACTTCACATTTAGGTGATTACAATTGCTTTCTGGTTGGTCTCCCTGCAAAAAGCCTCTCTCTAGTCCATCTGTTATACTCAATTGCCGAAGTGATCTTCCTAAAGTGAAGATCTGATCATGTCACCTCTCTGACTCAATAAACTCCAATGATTCCCTATTACCTCCAGGATCAAATACAAAATCCTCACTTTGGTGTTCAAAGACCTTCATAACCAACCTTACCCCAACCCCTTTTCCACTGTTCTTAACTCTTATACTCTCGTTTCCCTTACCTACTCTTTGATCCAGTGATACTGGCCTTCTTGTTGTTCCTGTAACAAGACTCTCATTCTCCACATATTTTCACTGGCTGTTCATGCCTGAAATACTCTTGCTCCTTATGTCTACCACCTAGTTACCTTTAAGTCCCAGATAATATTCTTTCTGTCTAAGTCATGTACCCTTTTTGATCTTGTCTTGTTTTATCATATTTTAGTTTCTGTCAAACTGCCTTCCAATTTTCCTAGCAGTTTCTGTCAAATGGTGAGTATTTGTCTCAAAAGCTTGGATCTTTTGGGTATATCAAACACTAAGTTACTATTATCATTTACTATGTTGTATTGTGTACCTAATCTATTCCACTGATCCACCCATTTGTTTCTTGGCCAATACTGTAATGTTTTGACTGATTACTGCCTTGTAATTTAGTTTGAAATCTAGTACTGTTAGGCTGCCTTCCTTAATTTTTTTTTTCATTTCCTTCATATTCTTGACCTTTTGTTTTTCCAGATGAATTTTATGTTTATTCTAGGTCTACGAAATATGTTTTTTTTTATAACTTGATTAATATGGCACTGAATAAGTAAATCAGTTTAGGTGAAATTGTCATTTTTATTCCAAGCTCTCCATTCCTTTAACATGGAAACTGATAAATCTTATGTAATCTTGACTGTAGTGTCACAGTATTTGAATGATTGCATTCTGGATGTTTTTACTATTTTCTCTTTAACCTGGGAGTTTTGATATTTGGCTATAATATCCCTGGGTGTTTACATTTTGGGATTTCTTTCAGGCAGTGATTGGTAGATTATATAAATTGCTATTTTACCCTTTGGTTCTAAGATATTGGGAAATTTTTTCTTTATAATATCCTGAAATATGATGTCTAAGCTCTTCTTTTAATCATGGCTTTCAGGTAGTTCACTGTTTCTTAAATGATCTCTCCTTGATCTATTTTCCAGGTCAGATATTTTTCCAATGAGATATTTCAAATTTATTTCTAGTTTTTCATTATTTTGATTTTGTTTTTATTATTTCTTAATGTCTCATGGGGTCATTAGCTTCCACTTGCCAAATTCTAATTTTTTTAAAAAAATTATTTTCTTCAGTAATCTTCTGTATTTATTTTTCTATTTGGCCAATTCTCTCTCTCTCTCTCTCTCTCTCTCTCTCTCTCTCTCTCTCTGTATGTATGTATGTATGTATGTGTGTATGTGTGTGTGTGTGTGTGTGTGTGTGTGTGTGCCTCTTTTACCAGTTGGCCAATTATGTTTTTTAAGATGTTATTTTCTTCAGTAATTTTTGTGCCTCTTTTATCAAATTTTTAATTCTCTTTTCACATTTTTTTAAAATTTCTCTGAACTCTTTTCCTAACTTTTCTTCCACCACTCTTAATTGATTTTTAAAATATTATTTTGCTCTTTCTTTAGCTCTGACAGGAATTCTTGAGCTTGTACCCAATTTTTATTTTTCTTTGAGATTTTGTATCTATTTTCAAATTGTTGTCTTCTGAAATTGTATATTAATCTTACCTATTACCATAGTAAATTTTTATGGTCAGATTATTTTTGCTGTTATTGTTTGCTCATTTTCCAGACTATTTCTTGACTTTGATGTTTATGTTAAAACTGGGCCCTGCTCACCTGGGATAGGAGGGCAATATCCCAAGCTTTAGTCTTTTTCATGCTATTGTTTTTCATAGCTAGTTCTGGAGGTTTGTATGTTTTCAATACCTCTAAGGTGATTTTATCTTAGGAATTGTATGCTCATTGGCTTTTCTGGTCCGTGTTCTTGTCTTTATTTAAGAAATGTTCTTGCTCCACTACAGCCACAAGTGCTAAGACTTTTCTCTGATATGGACCTAGGACTGCAGTGGCTACAAAGGCTATTGCTCCCCTCCACCCTG